CTATTGAATAGTTAACTAAGCAAAACTTAGTGGATCTTTTATGGTCTTTTTAGTTCTTTTCTGTAAGAAAAATGGATTAGATGACATTCTTTGCAATAAGAMAGAAAACATTAGATACACAGATTCCTTTATCTTTTCTCCTTTTTTCACAATTAATGAAGAATGTAGATTCATTTGTTCTCAGCCACGCCGAAGAGTCTGGTTAAAGGCATTTATGATCCCTTTGAAGAGGAACCAACAGTCTTGTGCTTATGGGGGGTGGAAGCAACAGAATTGTGGGGTTCGGAACAGGAATGTGACAGTTCTTATCTATTAACGGTAGGGCGTCAGGACGTCTGGTGGGGGTTGGTGTAAAAGATGTTAATTCGAGCCACAAAGGAAGTTCCATGCAAAAATCTTAAGAAATAGTCTGAAGTTAAAGTGGGGGTTTTCTTCCTTTCTCTGAGCAGTCATAGGAACAAGTTAAGAAATATAGTCAGAACTGATAATTATATGCAGGAAATCACTACACCTATATTGTTACTTTGACATGAATGTTTGAGAAATCATTGCATCACCTGTGGTAGCCATGTGGAGCTGTCTAAACACTTGGTGGTACAAAGCTCCGCCTATTTACACAAAGCTCCTCCCTGGAGCTCAGTCTGCAGCCGAGCTCCCGCCCCACAGAGCACCCCACCCTCGAAGCATTGTTGTGTAGATGTGCTGAAGTGGGAGTGTCCAAAACGGTAGGAGGTTCTTAAAGAAACAGAGGACAATTTCAAGGTGCTTAGATTGGCTAGATGCAAAATCAAATATATTTTTGATCTTTACAGCATTCTGTAAAACTGAAACATCTGCCTGGAAAATACATAATACTTCCCTTTAAAGCATTTTTGAATGTAGTAAGTTTGCACTTCACTGCAACATAAAAATTCATTGCTAATATAATTAAGCATGGATTGGATTCAGATTAATTTGCTGTTCAATCTGGCTGTGATGACGTGTTGAAATAGGTGGGACAGAAGCGGAAGGGGGTTCTTAAAGAGACAGGCCAATTTCAAGGTGCTTAGAAACAGATATGAGAAGTCAAGTTTATTTTCTATTTAAACATAAAAACAGCATTTTAATAACAACTAAAGGTGACATAGATACTTTATTAAGGTATAGTATTTAAATATATGCCTGAGAAATACAATATTGCCCCTTTAAGTCACATGTAGAAGTATACACTAAATGGTTCACAAATGTTTAAACAAAACATTACAAAAAGCTTAGAAACTATTCAAATTTTCTAAATTTGCCCCAAATCCAGTCTGTAGAGGTATCAGCTTTATGTTCAGACCTGAACATGCCACAATAGTATGTTTAATGCAAGTGAATGTGGTCTAGATGAGTGCAGGTGAAGGAACTACCTGAGGCGCTGAGCTCTGATTCATTCGCCTGTTCACTGAAGTCCCTTTTGAACGGTGAGATGTTGACTAACAGATCTGTTTAAGTATGTGCATTTGAATAAGGACACAAACTAGCTTTGTGAGAAAAAAACAAACAAACTATGTCTTAAAGGATCCAGTAATTCTGCAAAGTGTCTAATAGACCCACTGAGCAGCTGCAGGAGAGTTTCTCAGCATTTGTTTAGTTTGAAAATAAAAAAGACAAGTGTGAATGTGGAATGCTAAGTATTTCTGTTGTGTAATGGAGTTTACAGTAAATCCTGTGTAGTATATTTAATGGTCTTTGGTCTTACATCAAATGTTTTTGGTTGCTTTTGGATTAGATTAGTGGACTTAATAATATGAATAAAAACACTCTGACCCTTGTTAAGATTTCAGAAGTTGTCTTGCAACATAAACATTAAAGAAACCATCAAACGTAGGTTCTCTGCAGAGGTAATACCATCCATCCATCCATCCATCCATTTTCTTCCGCCTATCCGGGGTCGGGTCGCGGGGGCAGCAGCTTCAGAAGGGAGGCCCAGACCTCCCTTTCCCCAGCCACTTCTTCCAGCTCCTCCGGGGGAACTCCAAGGCGTTCCCAGGCCAGCCGAGAGACATAGTCCCTCCAGCGTGTCGTGGGTCTTCCTCTGGGTCTCCTCCCAGTGGGGCATGTCCGGAACACCTCACCAGGGAGGCGTCCAGGAGGCATCCTTATCAGATGCCCGAGC